TTTCTGTTACAGGGCAGTCACCACCTGTTAGCCAGCCTTTTGTTGTATGTCAAGTGGGAGTGACTTAAAGAGGATAAAAGTTTAGTTACAACTTAACAAGAAACAAAACTACTTCACCACAGGCAGAATGGGGATGATACAGCTGCTCTATGCCACAAAAACACACGGGAGGGGAGTCTTCAACTAACCCCCAACCCGGCCCTCAAAGTCCAAAATGGCTGCTGGAGTTGTGACCATTACATCTGAGTTCCAGACAGCCAGATAAAGGCAGAGCAGCAGGGTTGTCCTGCATCCTTAAGGAGACTTCTCAAAGTCCCTCACAACTATGTTGGCCTCTCTTGATGGGCATGCAGTACTTTAGTTGGGTGGCCGTCTGCCTAACATAAAATGAGCTTTCCATAACAACTAGAGAACAAGGGGGCCATGGCTAACGGGAAGCAGCCGACAGCCTCTGCCTCAGAGTGTCATACGTGCACACCCTGTTTCTTCAATCCATATTTTTCACCACTCATGTGCAGAAATCTGCCAGAGATGGAAAGAAACAGCTCTTCTGTGAGATTCTGCCTGTGTCACACCAAATTTCAGTATCAGGCTGGGTGGGCAGCTTTGGGGGTCTACAAGGACATCATAGCGAAGAGCTCAGAGTCCTCTCCCTCCATCAGCCCAGTGTCCTCTCCCTCCATCCCTCCCAGAGTCCTCGCCCTCCGTCCTTACCAGAGTCATCTCCGTGATCCCGCCGAAAGTTCTCTCCCAGCATCCCTTCCAGATCTGCTCCCTCCATCCGGGCCAGAGTCCTCTCCCTCCGCCTCGGCTAGAGTCCTTGCCCTCCATCCCACTCAAAGTCCCACCCAGAGTCCTCCTCTCCCAGAACGCTCTCCAGTATCAGGCTGGGTGGGCAGCTTTGGGGGTCTACAAGGAAACTATAGCGAAGAGCTCAGAGTCCTCTCCCTCCATCAACCCAGTGTCCTCTCTCTCCATCCCACCCTGAGTCCCCTCACTCTGCCCCACCAGTCTTTGCCCTCCATCCCACCCAGAGTCCTCTCCCTCCATCCCACCCAGAAACTCCTCCCTCTCCCTCCCAGAGTCCTCCCCCTCCATCATTCCAAAAGTCCTCTTCCTCATCCCCCCAAGAACCCCTTTCCCTCGATTTCTTTGAGTCCTGCCCTACGTCTTACCCTGAGTCCTCCCCCTCCCTCCCCCCAAGAGTCCTCTCCCTCCATAACATTCAGAGTCATCACCCTCCATCCCAACCATAGTTCTCTCCCGCCATCCCCCCCAGAGACTTCTTCCTTCATCACGCCCGGAGTCTTCACCCTCCATCCCGCCCGGAGTTCTCTCCTTCCATCTTGTCCGGAGTCCTCACGCTCCATCCTGTCCAGAGTCATCTCCCTTCCTCCCATCCAAAGTCCTCTCCCTCCATCCCCCCCAGACACCTCTCCCTCCATGCCTCCCAGAGTCCTCTCCCTCCTTCCCCGCCAGAGTCCTCTCCCGCCCTCCAGCCCAGAGTCCTCTCCCTCCATCTCGCCAGCACACTCTTCCCCCATCGCGCTCAGAACACTCTCCCTCCGCTCCACCCAGGGTTCTCTTCCTCCACCCCTCCCACAGTCCTCTCCCTCCACCTTCCAGAGTCCTCTCCCGCTGTCCCTCCCAGCTTCTTCGCCCTCCCTCCTAAAGTCCTCTCCCTTTATTCCTCCCAGGGTCCTCTCCCTCCATCCCTCCCAGAAACGCCTTGCCCTCCATCTCTTCCATAGTCTTCTCCCTCCATTGCTTCTGGTCCTCTCACTCCATCTCACCCAGAAGCCCCTCTCGCTCCACCTTTTCCAGAGTCCTCTCCCTTCATCCCTTCCAGGGTCCTTTCCCTCCATCCCCAGTAGAATCTCCCTCCATCCAGTCCAGAGTCCTCTCCCTGCATCTCACCTGGAAACCTCTCCCTCGATCCCTCCCAGAAACTCCTCTCTCTCCATCCTTCCCAGAGTCCTCTCCCTCTATCACTTCCAGAGTTCACTCCCTCCACAAAAATTAATATATAAATATGAAAATTAAAAAAGAGAAAGGGAACCAGGCATGGTGGCTCATGCCTGTAATCTCAGCACTGTGGGAGGTAGAGACGAGAGAATTGCCTGATCTTGGGCTCAAGATCAGCCTGGGCAGCTTGGTGAGACCTCGTCTCCACAATAAATCAAAAAATTAGCCAGGCATGCTGGCATGTGGCCTGTTTCTTCTCCTGACATTCCTGGTGTTGACACTGGGACCCCCCATTTTGCTGAAGACCCTGAGGCACAGGAAGCCAAGTCACTTGCTCAGCTCCTAAGGGCTGAAGCCAGATTGAAACCCAGGCGTCTGTCTCCAGGTGCTACTGCAGGGGAGAGCACTAGGGTGGCAGGGGTCCAGGACCGACAGAGAAGCCAGGCAGGAACTCCAGCCCCCACTGGAGTCTGGTGAGGGATCCTGCAATGCCACAGCTCCCTCTCAAAAACAGGGGCTGCACTTGATCCGTGATTGCAATGCCTACAAGAGCGGCACGGGGGCCTAAGTCAAAGAGGGCAAGAGGGATTATTGCCGTGTGAGGTGCAAACCTGGACAACATAGCAAGACCCCATCTCTAAAAAATTATAATAATAATTTGGCTTCCTACTTCTATAAGGTGAACGTAAAATAAAAGAAAGCATTGAGCAAACCAAAATAACACGGCTGCTGCCTGTCTTTGGCTGGTGAGTTAACAATGTATGCATCACGAGCTAAATTGTGGAGAAAGGACCTTAGCTTTCAAAATCCAGATTTGTCAGCAGCCCCTGCCCTCAAGGATCTTGTCTCATGTGTGTGCCTGCAGACTGCCACAAAGGGCAGGACAGGGGGCGGGCCAGGTGAGGACATTTGCAGAGGTGCGCAGCTACAGCAGACTTCCTGGGGGATGGACCTTGCAGAAAGATTGGATGTGGATGGAGAAAGAGGAAGGTGCCCCAGGCTGGGGGCACAGCCTCGGCACAGGTGGAGAGGGTGCAACTGTCAGGCTGTTACCTGGGTGCCCCCAGCTCCTGGAGTCCTCTGACCACGCCCAGAGCCAGCCTGGCCTGTGCTTTGCAAGCCAGCATCCTGCCGAGGGAACAGCGTCTAAGGGATGTGTGGAGGGGACGTGGGGTGGGGCAGAAAGCAGGTCTGACTGTCTTGAGCTCTGGCGGTGACACTTCCTGAAGAGGGAGGTGGCCAGAGTGACACCTGGGGACCAGGATCCCTCAGTGGAGGTAGGAGGAAGGGAATTGGTCCTCGAGAGTCAATTCTGTCTGTGGGAACCGTGGGAGGACTTCCTGGGCGAGGCCTAGACCAGGACATGCTTGCTGGTGCTAGGGAGAAGCACAGGTGAAGGATGGGCAGCATGAACCCAGGGTTCCCAGGGTCACCCAGGGCGGGCCACTTGTGCTGCAGGGGACCCAACCAGATACCAGCAGAGCGCCTCTGCCCCTCCGGATCCTGTCTCCCTCCATAAAACGGGGAGATTAGACCAGATGACATACCTCCAAAAGAGTGCATAGGCCCCTGGTGATTTTAGTACCTCATGGGGGACCCTTTTCTCTTTTGTTATTTTCATAGTTATGTATTAATTTTTGTGTGAATTAGAAAAAGAAAATGTCACCAAGCGGACACTTCACGATAACGATGGCTCACCCTGTGCCTGGCACTGTTTGAAACACTGTCAACTCTCTCCCACACTTCACCTCATGACAAGCCAGCAGGCCCGTATGGCCATTGGCCTCCACTCACAGACGCAGGAAATGAGGCCCAGCCAGGCACATTCACTTGCCGGGGGGCACCAGGATAGGGAGTGGCCGGGCTGCGGCAGAGCCTCACCCCTTGGCCTTCAGTGTCTCTGCTTCGACTGAGCATAGATGGACGAGAGTGACCACACAGGCAGGGTGTGGGGAGGTGGCAAGCAGATGACGGATGGATCTGGAGGGCTCCAGCGGGGTGTCCCAAGATCTGTCCAGCTGGAGAGCTCTGTAATTTCAGGGGAAAACAGGCTGGATGGAAATGTTTGCTCAGGTAACCATATTTTTGCATGAGGTCATATATTTACATAGTTCTCAAATCAAAGCTATATTAAGAGATGTACAGCGGGCCCACCAAGGTCCCAGCAGCCCCTGAGCATCCTTCACATGTTGCTTTAGGCAAATTCAAGCAAGGAAAATATACTCTTCCTCTTCTCCCACATCCAAAAGGCAGTATGCTGTCTACCTGCCTTGATTTTGTTTCAAGGTTATAGGTGTAGCCTGGAGACCTTTCCCTATCAGCCAGTGAGATATGTGTGCCTGAACTTCTTCAACAGGTGTGTGATATTCCAACAGGTGCCTTTCGCTTGCTCCTCCTCTATTGACCACACTTCCCATATTTTGCTATTACCAGCAAGGTCACAGTGAATAATCACCTCATCCATGAGTCATCGTGCCCAGGGCAGGTAACCTGTGGTTCTGGAATAATGTCAAGGTGAGAAAAGGCACCTTTGAGTAGTCTTCCCACTGTAAGTGGAAGCCAATAGTCTTTTTTCAAAAAATGTGTTTAGGGCTTATTTGTACTTTTTTCTCTGAACTGTTCAAATCCTTAGCTCTCACTTTATTGGGTCTCTTTGTTCTTGATTTCTAAAAACTCTGTATATTAGAAAGATTAGCCCTTTGTGATTTATGTTGCAAATATCTCCCCTGGTTGTTATTTGTCTTTTGAACTTCCTGTTGGTATATTTTGCAGAAAGTGTTTTGTTTGTTTGCTTGTTTGCCTTTGTGAGTTGTAGCATTTATGCAGTTGAATGTATCAAACTTTTTTTGGTGCCCTCTGAGTTTTTGAGTCATGCCTAGGAAAGCCTTGTTATAAAGGAACTTGTGTGTGTTTTCTTTTACCAAAACGCCAGCTTATTCATGGGTAGGGGAGGAACAAAAGAAGACCCTGGGCCCCAAATCATACCCTCTTGCTAAGCAGTGAAGTTGGAATTTCTTACCCGCTGTCTCTGCATTAGCCCCACTGCAGGCCTGTCTTGGAGGTAGAGGCCGCTGGCCAAGGGGAGACCCACCATGGCCTTCCTGATCCACCTGCTGGTCTGCGTCTTCGGAACGGGCTCCTGGGTGGCCATCAACGGGCTCTGGGTCGAGCTGCCCCTGCTGGTGACGGAGCTGCCCGAGGGCTGGTACCTGCCCTCCTATCTCACGGTGGTCATCCAGCTGGCCAATGTCGGCCCCCTCCTGGTCACGCTGCTCCATCGCTTCCGGCCCGGCTGCCTCCCTGAGGTGCCCATCATCTTCACGGTGCTGAGCGTGGGCACTGTCGCCTGCACCTGCTTCGCCTTCCTCTGGAACGTGACCTCCTGGGTGCAGGGCCGCCCCCACAGCGTCGCCTTCATGGTCCTCACCTTCTTCCTGGCCCTGGTGGACTGCACCTCCTCGGTCACCTTCCTGCCCTTCATGAGCCAGCTCCCCACCTGCTACCTCACCACGTTCTTTGTGGGCGAAGGACTCAGCGGCCTCCTGCCTGCCCTGGTGGCTCTGGCCCAGGGCTCAGGCCTCACCGCCTGCATCAATGTCACTGACACCACGCTGAGCCCTGTGACCAATGGGAGCGGCAGTACACAGGTACCCAGCATCACCCAGGGCCACCGCAGCCCTCTGTGCTCGGCTGTGCTTGAGCACAAGTGTCAGGGAGGGGAAAGTGGCTTCCCTCCATCCTTCTGGACTCCGTGGCGAGTCCATGAATTGCATCAACATAAGGCAGGTTAACAACAGAAAATCCACTGTAATCACGTACAGACATACGCAGGGGAGTCTCACAAAAATAGGAGACGGAAGGGCAGTGGCATGCTCACAGCCACCACAGCCTGAACCTGCTGGGTTCAGGTGAACCTTCCGCCTCAGCCTTCCGAGTAGCTGGAACTACAAGCATGTGCCACCATGCCCAGCTAATTTTTTTATTTATTGTAGAGATGAGATCTCACCAAGCTGCCCAGGCTGGTCTCGAACCCGTAGGCTCAGGCAATCCTCTCACTTCGCCCTCCCAAAGTGCTGGGATTATAGGCATGAGCCACCGTGCCCAACCAGATGTAAATTTCTTTTACAAAAAGGCAACTTTTCAGAGCTGCTCTTTAGTCTACAGTTTCCCAAAATAGCCAGCTGGCAACAATCAATATGCCATGAGGTCTGTTTTGCGGTGGCATATTCTGGTCTCCTATGGTTATATTTTAGGGTACTGTGTCCTGAATGTGCTCTGAGGAAGGGACTTGTCTGAATCCTCGGGATCAGGTTTTGTTTTGGCATATGGAGTTTCAGACTGTAGAACATGGTGCCCTGGTCCACGCTGGTGCCCATGACAAACAGAACTCACTGTCTGCAATCCATCTGCGTTCACACCAGTGGCAGCTCAGGGCTGCAAAAGGCTCACACTCATTCGAGTGTTGCTGCCACCGAGTCAAGAAGCATTTTGATGTTCAGAGTTTCTTGGATTCCAGAATTGCAGATAAAGGCTTGTGAATTTTTATTTCTTTTTTTTTTCTCTTTTTTTGAGTCTGGGTCTCACTCTGTCACCCAGGCTGTAGTGTAGTGGTAGCATGCTCACAGCCACTGCAGCCTCGACCTGCTGAGCTCAGGCAATTCTTCTACCTAAACCTTCCAAATAGCTGAGCCTACAGGAGTGTGCCACCACACCCAGCTAATTTTTTTTAAAAATTTATTGTAGAGATGAGGTCTTGCCAAGTTGCCCAGGTGGTCTTGAACTCCTGGACTCAGGCAGCCCTCTCTCCTTGGCCTCCCAAAGTACTGGGATGACAGGTGTGAGCCACTGTACCCAGCCATGAACTTGCATTTATTCAAAATTCCTTAGGTGATACTGATGTACAACCAGGGTTGAGGACCATGGATATTGCTTCAATACCTCATGCTATTAACACACCAACCTTTTCATCACTGGATATTGTATGACTTCCATATGTCTGGTATTATCCAAATCACAGCAGAACAGCAGCAGTGGCAAACCAGCGAGACCCAGGCCACACTGACTTGCAAGCATTTGCTAATTAGTTGAATTAGTTGATATTTTAAATATTTGAAATTTCACATATACAAAGGAAGGAGAGCTGGCCGAACCAGGCCTTGTGGCCACAGGGCAAATGGGTGGGGCTGGGAAGCAGGGTGCCCTCGAGGTGAGTGGCTCTCCCCTTGGATGGGAAAGTCTCCCCTTAGGTGGAAGGTTCTCCCCTGGGTGGAAGGTTCTCCCCTTAAGTGGGAGGTTCTCTCCTTAGGTGAGAGTTTCTCCCCTTGGGTGGGAGGTTCTCCCCTTGTGTGGGCATTTCTTCCCTTGGGTAGGAGGGTCTCCCCTTAGGTGGGAGGTTCTCCCCTTGGGTGAGAGTTTCTCTCCTTGAGTGGGAGGGTCTCCCCTTGGGTGAGAGTTTCTCCCCTTAGGTAACAGGTTCTCCCCTTTGGTGGGAGGTTCCCCCTTAGGTGGGCAGTCCCCCTTCAGTGGAGTCTCTTACTAGCTCCTCTTCTGAACATACTTGTGGCTGCCACCCTGTCCATAGTAGAATGGTAGAAGGTGGAGCTTCCAAGTCAGTAATCACTGGATGGACTGGCTTTGCCACATTCTTCCCATATCCCTCAGGTAAGTGACAAACCTTTCGGACATCTCAGTTCCCTCTAAAATGGGGGGTCATGGTCTCCACCACCCAGGGCTGTGAGGAGGCACACGGGCTGATACAGGCCAAGTGCTCGTGCCCAGCGGGCACTCAGTGGGAGCAATTTTTATTGTTACCTTACCAGTTATTCACTTGCTTATCAACTACCTATTAATGGTAATATATAATGTGTGTGCTACATTATCGCATGTATGATGTCACCCTTCACACATACACACACATGTCACATGCAGAATACATTATCGTTCCGTCATGCACGTCTTTGCTGCCGGCACCTGTGTCCTTGCCCCCCGGCGAGCTGACCTGCCTGTCTTGTCCTTCTGCAGGGAGTCCCCAGCACTTTGGTCCCTGCGGTCACTTCCTTCCCTGGGATGTCAGCCCCCGTGGTCCGTCTGGAGAGCCGCCACCTGCCTGCCCACTTCCCGCCCCGGGTCTTCTTCCTCCTGCTGGCCTTCATGATGGTCTGCTGCCTGGCCGCGTTCTTTCTCCTCCAGCGTCAGCCCAGGGCCTTGGAGGCCTCCGTCGAGGACCTCCTCAGCAGCCAGCTCGCCCTCCACTGCATCCGGCCACAGGGAGAGAAGGACGAGGGCCCCATGGGCCCGGTGAGCAGCGGTCAGGGCCAGGGGCACCTGGAGGAGAAGACGGCCCCCCGCCTGGTGCACCTGGCCCTCGTCTACACCCTGGTGGTCTTCGTGAATGCACTCACCAATGGCGTGCTGCCTTCCGTGCAGACCTACTCCTGCCTATCCTACGGGCCGGTCGCCTACCACCTGGCCGCCACGCTCAGCTCCATGGCCAACCCACTCGCCTCCTTCCTCTCCATGTTCCTGCCTAACAGGTTCGCTGTGTGCCTTCCTTCGGCCCTGGGAAACCTGCACTGGAGGAGCACTTGATTCCAGAATTCTAACCCCCCACACTGGGCTGTGTGTATAGAGGTTAAGAACAAGGTGTGTGGACTCGCCCGCCCGGGTCCAAATCCCAGCTCCGCCATTTGCCAGCTGGCACAATTGGACAAGTCACTTCACCTCTCTGTGCCTCAGGGAGAAGAGCCTCGCCTCTGTTCCCCCACCCCTAACCAGGGTGATGTTAGACCCATGTGGAAAATTCCAGACTACCTGACTCAAGTAAGTAAGTCACCCCGAGCATCCATGGCAGGGCTCGGCATCCCAGCAAGAGAAACAGGACAAACCTTGGCACCAGACCGTCCTGGTTCAAAGCCTAATTCCATGATTTAAGCTGATGATTCCATCTGTCTGGAAAACGGGGGTGACAGCAGTTCTGTCCCCGAGGCCTGCCAGAGGCATGGGACAGCTGGTTCTGTAAAGCCCTCGGAGTGACGCCTCACATGCATCGATGCAGCCTGAGTGTCACCGATGCTGCTGTCAGCCCCTGAGAAAAAGGGGCAGCCGGGGCTTCCATTTGTTAGGGGCAGCTGAGGCTTGGATAAAGGGCCTGACCTGACCAGTCCCCAGGATGTCAGCGCTGCCCTCCCGCCTCCAGCCCACGGCTGGTCTCCTTGGGGCCGCAGCTCCACAAGAACGGTTGGGCAAATGGTACAAGGCAGATTGAGCCAGCCTCACTGGGGACCTGGGGTTCCAGGTTTTAGTAGCAACCCAAGGGGTTCTGATACAGGGCTTCAGCACCCCCAAAGGAGAAACCCCACTCAGGACCTTGACATTTTAGGCCCTACAGCCTTGCATCCCCTTGAGCAGCCGTCTCTCACTGGCCTCTCAGACCTGCTCACACCTAGCCTGGGAAGGGCACAGCGAGGACAGGACAGAAAACCCCAGTTGGCCAGGAACCTGGGTTTTCTCCTTTGGGGCCTAAAAGCCATGAAGATCTGGGGGAGGCAGGACCAGAGGCCCAAAGGGCAGGCTCTGAGGAGCCCCACGTATTAGAAATACAGAATCTGGAAGTCATGGGATCTGGGAATCTTAGAGCAGAAATAGTCCTTCATGACAGAGGCAGACCGCAGGGACAGACCAGTCTTGGTGTTCTGGAGACTGCCCAGTGGGACCTCAGGGACAAGGACCTCAGAGGAAGTATAGTGTCCTCAGTTGTTGGACCTGGGGTCATGGAAGCCACCTGTAGAGTGAGGCTGCCAGGGCCCCGGAGATTGCGTGGACCTTGTGTTGCAGATAGGGGTGGCTGAGGCCAGAGGGGGAGGTCACTGGAGGTTACACAGCACACCTGCGGTGCCTTCTCATCAGCCCTGTTTCCTGGTGGAGGCTGGGCATGTTGCAGGAGGAAACCCAACAGATGAAATACCAGGTGGGGCCCTGCTGGGGCCGGGCCCCACAAACACTGCCCTGCAGGTCACCGTGACCCTGCAGGGCCGCCATTTTGGAGGCTCAGGGACCAGTCTCAGCTTAAACCATGAAACTAGGATTTGAACCAGGACAGTCGGGTGCCAGAGTCTGTTCTGTTTCTCTGGCTGGGATGCCTGGCCATGAACACTCGGGGTGACTTAGACCAGCTCCTCCAGAGTGGCTCTGGCCCACTTGAGCCAGGCAGTCTGAAATCTTCCACACGGATCTAACCCCACCCCCTTTCTACTCCAGGTCTCTGCCCTTCCTGGGGGTCCTGTCAGTGCTCGGGACCAGCTTTGGAGCCTACAACATGGCCATGGCTGTGATGAGCCCCTGCCCCCTCTTGCAGGGCCACTGGGGCGGGGAAGTCCTCATCGTAAGTATCCGACCGAGGGGTTGCTCCTCGCCCCCACTCCCCTCCCTCTTGGCCAAGGCCCCGGGAGACCCAGGTCAGCCCTCTGTTGACTGAAGCCTTTGTGGCTGCTCCCTCAGGAAGCCCCAGGTGGGAGGGGTGCTGCTCACCTGGAAGTGGAGGCTTAGGGACTTGAGGTGGCCAGTTCGGCCTCTCCCCTGGTGCCACACTGCCCCCATATGACCTCCGCCTGGCCTTCTCCCAGATGCCCTTGACTTGGCCGCCGAGTGAGAAATGCCACTGGGTTATCCTTTGCCCGGGGGGGATCAACTTACAGGACCACCCCCATTAAGGCTCTCCTTGCACTTGGAGGCTATTCCACGGGTGTCCCTTAGGCCTCTTGGGTCGCCGTGCGATCGTGTCCCTTAGCCCTCTGGGGTCGCCGTGCGGTCGTCCCACAGCCCCTCACGCCGCCCCTCCTCCGCCCCGCCCGGCAGGTAGCCTCGTGGGTGCTGTTCAGCGGCTGCCTCAGCTACGTCAAGGTCATGCTGGGCGTGACCCTGCGCGACCACAGCCGCAGCGCCCTCCTGTGGTGCGGCGCGGCGGTGCAGCTGGGCTCGCTGCTCGGGGCGCTGCTCATGTTCCCGCTGGTCAACGTGCTGAGGCTCTTCGCGGCCGCGGACTTCTGCAGCCTGCACTGCCCCGCCTAGACCGCGCCCGCAACGCCCGCGCCCCGACGCCCGGAAAGTGGGCCCAGGGAGGCCGGAGCATGCCGGAGTCACAGCGCAATGGGGGAAGCAGGGAGGCAGGGCCTGCATTCTGGAACTGGGAACGGGAACGCCCACTGGGGACTTCGGGGAATGTCACGGGCCTCCCGCGGGACCTGGACGTGAAAGGCACAGCCCTGCCCCCCAGCTCTGTCCCCCACCTGCGACTCCGCCGGCTCAGGTCTTCTTTCCTTTGATTCTTGAGCGAGAGGGGGTCTGCAGCACCCAGCAGGAGGCAGGCCCCCAGCGACGTTAGAAGGGAAACGGCAGGGTGGGGGGTGAGCTGCTCCTGGCCAGCTGTGTGACCTTGGGGAAGCCACGTGACTTCTCTGTGCCTGTTTCCTCATCCCAAAACTGGAGATCATAATAAATAGCAGCAACCTCCGTGGCTTCGTGGGAAGAAAGGAAGCAGCACACAGGCAAGAAGCCCTCCAGAGCAGGACCCCACCTGACATCCCACAGGATTGACAGAGTATCCGTCGACACAGCCTAGAAGTGGCCAGTGGGATCGACAGGGCCCTGCCCTTGCAGAGACAACACAGATGGCCAGTGGCAGGGTCTCGGGCCTCTTGGCTTTCTGAGTTCCAGCACGGAGGGACACTGTGCCCCAATCTCTTCCTGCTGTCCCACCTGGCCTGGCAGCTCTCCTCCTTGGAGAGTAGGTGGCCTCCTGGGAGGCAGAGGTAGGGGGCGTGGAGGGCCTGCCCCAGCCTCCGAATGGGCCCCCACCCCCGGGCTGGGACCCGACACTGAGGAAACTCAGAAACAGGGCTCTCAACAGGAGGGGAGCGGGGGATTGCTATTTTTACTTTCTGTGTTTCTTTTTAAAAAATAAATACATTCCCTGCTTTTACACTCAGGTCAACTTTCAAAGGAGGAGTCCATTGTGAACCCCCAGAATGTGTCCACATCATTGGTTTTCAGTTGGTTCTAAGGTCCAGGCTGAGCTCGGAAATGTACAGCATCGAGTGTGCAGGGAACATCTGTGTTGGGACTTCCTTTTAGAGGTTCTGCATGCTCACCGCCCCCACACAACCACAAACGGTCCCACTTGTTTTGAATCGGGAGTACAGTCACGTGTTTCAAAAATCAGAAAATATAAATTGGTGCAAGGAAAAGTTTCCATCCCCCTTCTTCATCTGCCTGGTTCCTCTTTTTTTTTTTTTTTTTTT